GGTTGCGTGGGGGCCGTCCCCGGGGGGGGGGGGGGGGATTTCTCGCTTCTGTCTGTCTCTGTCTTTCTGGCGAGTGCACATGCCCTATAGCAAAAACCTCTCAAAAAAAGAGGTGATTAGGCCATGAAGGCAGATTGAATAATGCCATTTCTGCAACAATGGGTTCAATCTCTCAGCCTCTCTCAAATGTTTTCTCTCTCCTTCTCACCTTCCACAACAGTATCAGCAGCAAGAACGCCCTCACTGGATGCTGACACCTAGATATTGGACTTTTCAGTTTCCAGAACTGTGAGAAATAACTTTTTTTCTTTATAAATTACCCCATTGCTGGCATTTTGTTTTAGCAGTATGAAACAGACTAAGACAACTGTTTTTTTTATTGTGGTTTTTGGGGGGTTTTTTCTTTTTTTCTTTTTTTTTTGGAGAGGTTTTTGCTATAGGGCACGTGCGCTCGCCAGACAGAGACAGACAGAGAGACAGAAAGCGAGAAATCACCCCCCAGGAGGGATGGCCACGCCACAATCCCTTCTCCTCCATTCTCCTCTTGGGATGTTGGGCACACACGCACACGCACACGCACCCAGCATGAGTTTAAGCCGCCGGGTCCAGGACTCAAATCGTGGTCGACTATGTGGGAGTCCAGGGACATAGCCATTATGCTAACTGCTGGTCCCTTCAAGACAACTGTTTTTGAAGTAACTGTGGAATTAATTTTATAAATTTCACTTTGAAGTATTCATTGCTGGCATATAAAAACATAAGAGGTTTTTTTTAAGGAATTATTTATTTTATTTATTCATTCATTATTTTTTTTTATTCGACCCAAGAGACACACAGAGAGAGAGAGAGAGAGATATTGAGAGAGAGAGAAAGAGAGAGAGAAAGCAAGCCACCAAGTCCAGGACTCAAACCGCAGTTGGCCATGTGGGAGTGTTCAGCTCCTTAACCACCATGCCACCGACTGATCAACAAAAACACAACAGATTTTAATATATTGGATCATGTATTCCACTATCTTACTGAGTGTGTTAGTTTTAACTTTTTTTTTTTTGATCCCTTAAGATTTTCTGCATACACAATCATGTTGTCAGCAGATAAAGACAATTGTACGTCTTCCTTACTATTCTGGATGTTTTTACTTCTTTTCCTAATCAGTTCATTGCCTAGACCATCTAATACAGTCTTGAAAAAAAGTGGTAATAACTGATATCCTTGCCTTATTCTCTTTCATAGTAAAAAAGCATCAGCTTTTCTCCATTAAGTGTAATCTTAGCTATAGGTTTTACTTAAATGGCCTTTGTCAGGTAGAACAAAGTCTCATCTACCATAAAAATGTTCATCATAAATAAGACAAACACACACACACACACAATTTAAGTTTGCTACATGACTCATCTGCTCATCAGTGAGAGAGAAAAATATCACACCCCCACCCCCAGGAGGGATTGGCCATGCCACAATCCCTTCTCCTCCTTTCTCCTCTCAGGATTTTGAGCATGCACACACTCATGTCCAAGGTGATTTTCAAATTGCTGGGTCTGGGACTCTAACCTCACAGTAGGCCATATGAGATCCAGCTGCCTTAAACTCCACACCACCTGCTTCCCCCCTTGGCAAGTATTTTTATGTATCTGTCTTACTCTGTTATTGTGTTGCTAAACAGAAACTGAGATATCCAGAAGTCCTCCTATAAAAACAAAAATAGAGGTTTATTTGGCTCAAGATTCTAGTGTCTGAAAAGTCTAAAAGTGTGGGGCTATCAGATTGGTCTTCCAAGGTACATCACAACAGGGCCAATGCTGTGGTTTGGACAACAGTTTGTCCCCTGAAGGATCATGTTCTGAAAGTTGGTCATCAGTGTAATTAATGGCTTTGGGAGGTAGAGACTTTTAATAAGTGTGACTAGTCAGGACCAACAGATGGTGTCATGGTTATGTCTCTGGACTCCCACATGTTGACCGTGGTTTGAGTCCTGGACCCAGTGGCTTAGACTCACACCAGGTATGTATGCATGGATGACCAAGATCCTGAGAGAACAGAGAAGGGATTATGGCAATGGCCAGCCCCCACACCAGGGGATGATTTCTCACTTTCTGTCTCTCTCTCTGTCTCTCCAGTTAGTACATGTGCCCTATAGCAAAAATCTCTCTTAAAATAAGTGGGACTAATAGGAGGGCACCATCCAATTAGCTAGGAGGATGGGAGGGACAAAGAAAGTGATTGCTTCTGCTCTTCCTAAACATGCATGCTTTTCTGCTTCTATGTGTTGTCTTAGTCTGTTATGTTGCATTAGGTCTTCAAGCTTGAGAACAATCTGACTCCATGTACCATATCTCCCAGTGAGAGTTGGGTTCCCAATCCCTGGGAAGCTCTGGCTCCATGACTTTAGAGATTGAAGTTGCTTGTACTTGGAGTGGAGGCCTATAGCTTCCCTAGGCAACCATTCCACACTGCCAATAGTTCTGCAATTCTGAGGTCTCAAGAGTAGCCCTGTCCCTGTGGCACCATTAGAAATGGTACTGGTGGGTGTTCTCTGTTTCAATACATTTCTGCTTGTACTGCACTAGTAGAAGCTCTTTCTTATGACTCTACCCCTGCAGCAGATCTCTGCCTGAGCTCCCAAGCCATTTTAAATATCTTTTGAAACGTAGGGGGAGGTTGCCACATCTTCACTGCTCTTGCGCTCTTCACACCTGAAGAATCAGCACCAGGACAGCAGGTGGTGTGGGGGTCAAAGTGTTTGACTCCCACATGGCTGACTATGGTTCAACCTGGCAGTTTGCTTTTTCCCTCTCTCTCTCATCAGTACATATGCCCTATAGCAAATTCTAAAATAATAATAAAATTAATCTTTAAAAAATTTTTTAAAAAGAATCCACACATGTATCACATGTATATACAGATGCTACTGCTACTGCTGCCATTGCCAAGGCCTGTAGCCTGTGCCCTTCAAATTGGTGGCTTAAAAATTTTCCCCCTCTTAAGTCTTAGACTCTTTTCCCTGTCAGAGCACAGAAGTGACTCGTCGAATGTTAGGTGATTAATTAAATAAATGCCTTTTAATTAATTAAATGTTAAACAACTGCATGTCAATCCAAAGAATACATGTATTTTAATTTCACCATTGCCCTCACATAGACATAACAGCAACTCAATGCTGTAAAGAGCATCTTTACTTTTTATCAGATTTTTTAAAAGTAGAAATGTCAGGTCGAAAATGTCAAAACTGGTAGGTATAGTCAAATTATGCTTCCACCACAAAGCGCATTATTGATTCTTTCAACAATATGTGAAAGTGCCTATTCTTGGACCATAAAAGTAATGAATATTTTATATTTTGTTATTCTTGCCAAATAAGCAAAAAAATCTGATAATTTTAATTCAAATTTCTGTTAAAAGTGGCTCTTTTTATGTTTTACCACTTGTATTTATTTTTCTGACAACTGTACATTCACATCCAAGGCAACTTCTCCACTGGGATTTTTCTTACATATTTTCAAGCACTCTCTAGATATTATACATTATTTGTTAAATATTATGGTGGTAATATTTTCTCCAAGACTGGCCATTTGTATTATAACACAAGCATAAGTGTTCATGAAGTATCTGTTCATACAAAAGCTTTAAGTTTTTATATGATTTTCTTAAATGGCTGCTAATTGTTCTAATTTAGGAAAACTAGTAACTTATAGGAGATACACTGAATGTGTTTAAATATTTAACACAGCCAAAGTTGAAATTTCACTTCATCATACCAATACCGCATCCTTCTCAAAGACAACTACTATTAAAGTTTAGTATTTAAAGTTTATTTTAGTATTAAAGTTTATTGTTCCATTCTTTTTTAACGTATATGTACAAACTAAAAGTTTTATTTATATTATATATGTATGTGTGTGAGTAATATATGTATGTATACATATAAATAAGGGGGCCAGAGAGTGGTTACAGCAGTGGCAGAGTGTTCTTTGAGGCTGACCCACATGGCAAGGTTCCAGGTTTTGCCCAGAGACTTCCCTAAGCACTATGACATGCATGCATGCCTATGATCCAGGGCTGACTGGGGCTGGAGGTGAATTTTGACATAGGGACCCTGTCAGGGAGTGCCTGTCCCCCTGTCTCCCTCTCTGTCTCATTCATAGAAGAAAGAAAAAAACTTCAAAAGAAAATTGAGCCATCCCAGTGGCATGATGGTTGAGGTGACAGGATACCACATGGCCAACTACACAGTTTGAGTCTGGACCTAGAGGTTTGAGAAACACATCAGGCACATTGCATGCATACCCAAAATTCTGAAAGGAGGGAGAAAAGGAGAAGGGATCATGGCACAACCATTTCCTCTGGGGGGTACTTTCTCATTCCCTCTCTCTCTCGCTGTCTCTCTTTCTACCTTCCTTTAATAAGTGCATGCACTCTCTGGCAAAGTTAAAAAACAAAGAAAAAATATATATATTTAAGACCACACTATATATTAGGTTGTCAGAAAAGTCACAACATATTTTTCTGTTTTCTACGCAAAAATGTGTTATAACTTTCCAGAAAACCCAATAGATTTTCTGCAACTAACTTTTTTTACCTTAAGGTATACTTCTACTGCTATATTTAGGGTTCTATTTCATTCTCTTCAACCAATACATACTGGGTTGTCAGAAAAGTCATGACACATTTTTGCATAGAAAAACATAAAGAATACATCAAGGCTTTTCAGACAACTCAGTAATACTCTTATAGTAATTATTTCCATATTGACAGACATTTAAGTTCTTCAAATATTTCACTAGTGTAAACCACACTACAATGAACAGCCTCACAAGTGAAAAGTTTTCTCAGATAGAGATACACAGAATATTCTTGTTAAATGTCTAATTTATTGAATGTCTACTCTTTCATGGTCAGAAGGAATAAACTACTTCTACATAATTTACCACACTAACTACATTTGATGGCTCTCTGTTATGAATTTTCTTATGTTGTTTAAGGGCTGAACTTTGAGAAAAAGCTTTCCCACATTCATGACATATATAAGGTTTTTCTCCAGTATGGAGTCTATGATGTTCAAAAAGGCCTGAGCTGTGCCGGAAGGATTTCCCACATTCCTTACAATGAAAGGGTTTTTCTCCAGTATGAATTCTCTGATGTCCAGTAAGGGTTGAGCTCTTCATAAAGGCTTTCCCACAGTCATTACACTGGTAGGGTTTATTGCCACTATGAATTTTCTGATGTCCAGAAAAGGATGAACTATACCTGAAAGACTTCCCACATTTACTACAGTGATAGGGTCTCTCTCCTGTATGCATTCTTTGATGACTAATAAGAGTTGAACTCCTCCTAAAGGTTTTTCCACATTCATGGCACCGATAGGGTTTCTCACCAGTGTGGATTTTCTGATGTTCCAACACAGTTGAGTTATCCCTGAAAGCTTTCCCACATTCATTACATTTGAAAGGCTTCTCTCCACTATGTATTCTTTCATGACGAGTAAGGGCTGCATTCTGAGCGAAGGCTTTCCCACAGTCATGACATTTGTAGGGTTTCTGACCAGTATGAATCCTCTGATGACTTAAAAGGATAGAGTTCTTTCTGAAAGCTTTTCCACATTCATTGCATTTATGGGGTTTCTCTCTAGAATGAATCCTCTGGTGGTTAATAAATGTTGAGTGCTTCTTGAGGAATTTCCCACATTCCACACATCTATAAGCTTCTTTGCCTACATGAATTTTGAGATGATTTAAAAGGGATGAAAAGCTCACGAAGGCTATCCCACATTCTTTACATTTATGTGGTTTCTCACTAGTATGATTTCTCTGGTGGTTAATATAGGAGGAAATATATTTGAAGACTTTCCCACACTCCTCACATTTATAGTTCTTCCCTGTGGAGCTTCTGCCCTCCCAATCCAGACCTCTTTCCAACATGAAACTTGTTGTTTGCTCTCCCAGAAGAGATCCTTCAGAAGCATTTTGCTTTAGAGCTGACATCCTTGTTTCAAACCAGTAGTCCTCGACTGAAAAAAAATTTAAAATATTCAAATATTCTGTATGTTGAAATACTGAAAATGAGGGTTGTACAAAAATTTGGATACTTTCTATACTATATAACTAGGGGTTACATAAAATTACTGTGTGTCACTTGTGATTCTTGCTAAAAAAAAATAAAGATGACAAGATTAAAGATACAAGAAGTCAATAAGAGCCTAAAGAAATAAAAGGGATTTATGTTATAAACATTGGATTTAGAGAATGTAAAACAACACCTAAGAAACTGGTAGTTTAGGAAGGTAACACAGAAAACAGCCAAAAATAAAAAGATGATAATGTGAGGAAAACCCAAATTTGGGAATAAAGCCAAGTATGACAAAGAAACCCCTGATTGCTACAACAGATTCTTAGAGGTGATACATCTAAGAACATATGACATAGCCAAGAATTTGAGAATAACTTTTTCTGTGAGAATATAACAATGAACCAATGTTTCATTGCTAAGAAAAAAAAAAGGAAAAATATTTCAAGAATCAAAAACAGAATACACCAATCAAAAGATGAACTATGTGATTATTTTCTAGCTGTTTACAAAGTACAGATCAGACCCAGGAGAAACTAAGCAAAATCAGTTTGATAAAGAAGTTCTGAAAAATTAATGGAGTCAAATTTGTGGTAAAATCAATATTCACTGAATATTCTTGTACTGAATACATTTTTTCTTATAGAAAGAAATTATATTGGCATCTATAGATCTATACACATATTTATTTATATTTTATATAAATGTATTAATCTGGAGAGAAATTCTACACAACAGACACTAGAGCAAAAACTTATTTTTTCACGGAAATGAAGATGAAGACTGGTAAGAAATAGCCCAGATTTTTCCAATGCCTTTTATGAGATATATATTTAATGTGTGATGCTTGAACTAGAAAAAATTTCAAGGTACTAATTATAAAAGTAGGAGGGGGGCCAACAGGCAGCGTGGTGGTTAAAGGCATTGTATTCCCACATGGCCAACTGCAGTTCAAGTCCTAGACCTGGTGACTTGCCTTCTCTCTCTCTCTCTCTGTGTCCCCCTCTGGTCAAAGTAAAATACATACATACATAAAGCTCAGTAAAATAATTCTTTAAAAAAAAAAGGTGGAGGCAAATTAGTTATATGAAAAAGAAAGCACATATATGGACACTTATTCTGTCACAAAGGTAGTCTTGCAAAATATTAAGGAAAAGGAGGTTTTGCATTAGCAATTTTGGGAGGGGGAAAAAGTAAACATGAACCCTTCACCTCATACCATGAATGAAAATCCATTCTGAAAGTATGGTAGATCTAAATATAAAAGACAAACAATAAAGCTTCTAAAAATTAACACAGGAGAGTAGTATCATGAACTTGGGAAAAGAAAAAACAGGAGGGATGCACAAAAAATAGTGTTAATGGGGTCAGCAGGTGGCATGGTGGTTAAGGGTGCTGGACTTCCACATGGCTGGCTGCAGTTCAAGTCCCGAACCTGGCAGCTTGCTTTCTCACTTTCTGTCTCATTATCTTTCTCATTCTGTCTCTCTCTGGTCAAATTAAAATAAATAAATAAGTAAAGTTCAATTTAAAAATAGTATTAATAATTGTTAATATATAATTTAAAAATTCATATTGTTAATGAAGCAGAAAACAAAAAGCAACAACAGAAAAGATTAATAAATTGAGATCATTTTTATTCATCAAAATATCATTAATAGTAAAAATGCAAACCACAGGGGCCAGTAGGTGGCACAGTGTTAAGGCACTGGACTCCCACATTGTTGACTACAGTTTGAGTCCCAGACATGGTGGCTTAAAAATAACACTGAACGTGTGTGTGTGTGTGTGTGTGTGTGTGTGTGCTCAAAATCCCACAACAGAGAAGGGATTATGGTGTGACCAGCCCCCAGTGGGGTGATTTATCACTTTCCCTTTCACTGCTTCTTTCTCTCCCTCTCTGGTGAGTATATACACCCTAATGGCAAAAACCTTGTAAAAAGAATTTTTTAATGCAAACTACAGGGAGAGAAATTACACTACACATATATATAAGCAATGTGCTCTTTGAATAGCTACTTGATAAAAGATGTCATATAATGGCCACTTAACATTTTTAAATATCTCTAACCTCCTTAGATATCAGGAATATGAACATTAAAACTACAATAAGCTACACTACAAATTCACAAAAATGACCAACTTCAAAAGACTGATAATCTCAAGTCTTAGCAAGTATATGGAACATGAATACTTTCAGGGCTAGCAGGTTGTATGGCGGTTAAGGCACTGGACTCCCACATGATCGACTGAGGTTGAGTTCTGGAACCTGGCGGATTGCTTTCTTACTTTCCCTTTCTCTTGCTCTCTCTCTCTCTCTGGTCAAATTAAAAATAATAATAACAAACAAAATTAAAGTAATAAATAATTGTTTTTAAAATATCTTAGGGGCTGGCAGGTAGCACAGTGGTTCAAGGCACTAGACTCCCACATGGCTAAAGTTCAAGTTCCAGACCTGGCAACTTGCTCTCTCTCTCCCTGTAGTCAAAATTGAAAAACTAATCATACTGAATAAGTAATTACTAAAAAATATATTTTAAAAAAAGAATACTTTTGTATAATAGTAGATGTAGGGGCCAGCAGATGACATAATGGTTATGTTGCTGGACTCCCATGTAGTCAACCATGGTTCAAGTCCCAGACCTGGCAACTTGAAACTCATGCTGGGCACGTGTGCATGAGTGCCCAAATTCCCAAGAGAAGAATGGAGGAAAAGGGACTATAGCGTGGCCATCCTCCTTGGGGGGGTGATTTCTCATTTTCTATCTCTCTCTGGTGAGCACGCATGCCTAATAGCAAAACTCTCTCCACCAAGGAAAAAAAAAAAAAGTAATAAAGGGGCCAGTTGGTGGCATGGTAGTTAAGGGTACTGGACTCCCACATGGCTGACCATGGTTCAAGTCCCAGACCTGGTGGCTTGCCTTCTCACTTTCTTTCTCTTTCTCTCCCCTCTTTCTCTCTCTCTCTCTCTCTCTCTCTCTCTCTCTCTCACACACACACACACACACAAACTCTGCCCCTCTCCAGTAAAATTAAAAAATAAATAAATAAATAAAATTTAGAAATAATTCTTTAAAAAATAATAACAGATGTACAAAACTTTGGACAATTAAGTGGCATTATGTACTAAAGCTGAATATATATATACATATCCTACAAAATAGAAATTCCACTCCAACGTATATGTCCGACAGAAACTTGTCCACATATGAACTGAAAGGTAATGTTAGGAATATTCTTAGTATTTGTAATAGCCAAAAGTTGAAAATTCCCACTTCTCTCTCTAAATATAAGAAATAAACTATAATACAGTCATACAGTGACACTCTATGGCAGTGGTTTTCAAAGCATTATCTCCAGACCAACAGCAACAACTGCATATATGCAAGTTTGCTGAATAAAGAACTCTAGGGGTAGGGCCAGCAGATGGCATGGTGGCTAAGGTGCTGGGCTCCCACATGGACAATCACAGTTTTGAATCCTGGACCTGTCAACTTGCTTTCTCACTTTCCCTCTCTCTCTCTCTCTGTCTCTATGGTGAGCACACATGCCCTATATCAAATTAAATAATAATAATAAATAAAATTAAAAATAAACAAAAATAACTCTAGGGCAAGCCAATGGCATGATGGTTAGGACAGCTGGTTCCTCCCTGGCCAACTGTGCAGTTCAAGTCACAGACACAGTGGCTTGAACAAGCAAGGTGCATATACAAGTGTGCCCAAAATCTCAAGAGAATGGAGGTGAGGGGACTGCCGCATAGCCATCCCACCTTGGGGGGACGCTTTCTCACTTTCTCTCTCTCTCTCTCTCTCTCTCTGGTGAATGCACACGTACTATAACAATTTTTTTAAAGCTATATGATTCCATTCATATAAAGTTAAAAACAGATAAAAAGGGACCAGCATTTAGCATAATGGCTATTTTGCTGGACTCCCATGTAGTCAACCGCAGTTCGAGTCCTGGACCTGGTGACTTAAACTCACACCAGGCGCATATGTGTGCGTGCCCAAGATCCCGAGAGAAGAAGGGACTGCAGCGTGGCCATCCCCCCGGGGGGTGATTTCTCGCTTTCTGTCTCTCTGTCTCTTTCTGGCAAGTGCACGCGCTCTATAGCAAAAAAACTATCAAAAAAAAACCAGATTAAAAAAATAAACTACCCTTGAGCCAGCAAGTGGTCTGGAGGTTAAGGCAGCAGGATCCCACATGGTCAACTCGGGATTGAAGTCCAGACACCCAGCAGCTTAAAAAATAAACTACAGTATTAATTTGGGGATGGAAGGGTAATATGAGAGGAATCAAGACATGATTTATGAGACCAGCAGATGGCATAATAGTTACATTGCTGGACTCTCAACGTAGTCTACCACAGCTTAAGTCCTGGACCCAGTGGCTTAAAACTCACATCAGGCGCGTGTGCATGAGTGCCCAAGAGAATGGAAGAAAAGGGACTGTGGTATGGCCACCACACCCCCAGGAGGTGATTTTTCACTATCTCTCAAGTCTCTCTCTGGTGAGTGCACACACCCTATATCAAAAATCTCTTAAAAAAAAAAAAAAAGATATGATTTACTACAGTATTTCCAATGTTTTATTTCTTGACCTCTCTGGCGAGCACATGTGTGCTACAGCATAAACAAACAAAAAACAACCCTTAAGATTTTAAATATTAACATTACATAAACAATAAAGAAAGAAAATAAAGAATTATTTATTTTTATTTTTTGCTGAAGGGCACACATGTTCACCAGAGAGATACAGAGAAAGAGAATGAGAGAAAATGAGAAAACAAGCTGTGAGGACTCAAACCATAGGCCATGTAGAAGTCCAATACCTCAACCACGATGCCACCCACTGGCCCCAGAAAATGAATAAATTAAGCAAATAGCTAAAACAGAAAAAAATTAATAAGCCTAAAGAAAGCAAAAGAGAAAAAGGAATTAA